GTTAGAATTTCGACAATTCAGGCAAAGAATCAACTCATGATAATGGTTAAGACTGGAGTATTCAAGAATTGCCCGATATATTAAGTTGTCAGTTATCATAAAGTTTAAAATAAAAATTTAAAAAATACATTATGAAAGTAAAAGGTATATATATTTTTTCCCAACCAACCTTACTAAAAAAATGATTTTTTTTTTCTCATTTCTCCAAGACAATAAAATAGTTTTTGTCATGGAGAATAATATGAATCTTTAATAATTGGAAAAAGTATGAATTTTTTTAATACGTTCCCCCTTGCCCCCATTCCCACTTGCCACAGATGGTGGAAAAAAATAAATAATATATTTCCATAAAAAATAAATAATAAAGTAAATTATTTCACTTTATAAAGTCAATAGACAAGAGCTGATTATCATGAACTTGCGGAATTAGCCCTCATGTTCTTGGATTCAAAATTTTTACACATTCACATTCATAAGCCGTGTCCACTTTACCATGCCCATTTTATGGCAAAGGGTATTTAATACCTGAAGATAATGATTTTTGATAATCAGACCAAGGAGCTCCTGAATTTCAACAAGTAGAGGATATTAGAGGTGGAGAGGATTGCAAACTTCTTCTCTTTTTTATATACTACCAAGTTTCTGACTGCTGAGAAATCAGACATCTCAGCAATCCAGGTTGGTACAGAAAAAATATTTTAATTTAACTGTTCCTTAATAGTTTGGGCTTTTTAAAATAGAACTATTACAAATTTACATATTATTTATGTTCAAATTTTGTATAATTTGAACATAAATAATATAAAAATATTTAATTAATTATTATTATAAATAATTTATCAATTTTCATAAATAAAATACCTACCTTTGCAGGACCAACAACAAATGGCCCAAAGAAAAGAGTTTGTCCAGTTTAATGAGCTACCTACGCTTACTGATTATGTAGGTTCTAAGTCTTGGCTAATTTTTGATATCCTTGAAAATAATGAACAGCAAGTGACTCTTGTTTCCCTCTGCTGTATGGAAAGTTGACCCCAACTTTCTATGCAGCAGAAAATGCTTCTTTTTTTTTTTTTTTCTATTTTTATTTTACATTTTACATGGTAAATATCAATAAATAAATATATTTATTTATATATTTTAAAAACAGACGGGGACTTAAAGACAATATGGATGATGCCATATCACCTCAATATTTTTATAGAGCCCCTTATTATAATAAAATATTGATATTTCAGATTATAAAATATTCAAAATGAGTTATAAAATCCATAAAAATATAAAAATAATAAAAATAAAAAATGTATAAAATTAAAACTAAAGATATAGTAACAAAAGTACATTATTTTTACAATTACAAAGATATTTTGCAATAACTATATTGCAATTTTAGGTATTCAAAGAAATAAATACATTATACAAAAGATTATACAAAAAAATTTGATAATTAACAGATTAAAAGACATTCATTGGGAAAGATACAACTACAGGGGCGATTTTACATAGAGTAAAATCGCCCCTGTGGTTGTATCTTTCCCAATGAGCATTCATTCTTTCAGTTGCTTGTTGCATGTAACTGATGACGTAGAACTAATTGAAAAACATACTGCTGAGGGCAACGTATATAGTATATACGTTGTCTCTGTCCTGAATAAGATTTTCGGCTCGGCATTTGGTATATTATACCAAATGCCGAGCCGAAAATCTTATTCAGGACAGAGACAAGAGCTGCATGCAAGAAGAAATAGAAAAATTGTCTGAAATACTGATATTATTGATTTAAGACTAAACTATAGCGATATAAAATGCTGGCCAAAGCTGAGTTCTGAGCCAATTTTGTTTAAACCGGCCATCTTTGTTTTTCCAAAATAAGAAAATTAATTTATATCCAGAATTAAAATTATAAAGATTAAAGCAGATTTTTTAAAGAGTTATTTAATATTTTGTTACATAAATTGGGGACTGAATTGAAAAAAAAGCGTTGATTATTTTTTAATATTGTTGATTATTGGAGATAAATTCAAATTGTTGATGAACCTGGGCATATAATGTATTCTTATTATATACTGTTTATGATACCTTTAAGAACAGAATAGTAGTATATATTACTTTGACTAACTATATATATATATATATATATATATATATATATATATATATATATATATATATATATATATATATATATATATATATATATATATATATATATATATATATATATATATATATACAGTGGCGGATTGAGGTTTAGTGTCGCGGGGGGGCCAAGTCAATAAATAGGGGCGACCGGGGTTGCCTTCAGTAATTTAATCTCATATATATATATGTTTTAATTGTTTTAGGGGGCGCCATTAGACCGTTCTAGGGGGCGTGGGGGGCAGCTCGCCCCCCCACGCCCTATACTAAATCCACCACTGTATATATATATATATATATATATATATATATATATATATATATATATATATATATATATATATATATATATATATATATATATATATATATATGTATATATATATATATATATATATATATATATATATATATATATATATATATATATATATATAAGATAGAAACTATACAAAACTATAAACTTCTGTAACAAATCTTTTTGTAAAAATTCAAATTTTTCACAAAATTTTTTTGTAAAAAAATATAAAATTCTCCAAATTTTGCATGAGTTTTAATATTTTTTAGCTATTGCTTTTGGTCAAAGAATCAAATTGAGCTGATTTGATATATTTGTCAGCAAGCAACCTTTTTTTGATTAATTCTTTTAGTTTTATGTAAAAGGCGTTCGGATCAATAGCCGAATCATATTTGGAATTTTTATTGTGGAGCAAAACACCCTGAAAATAGAGATTCTGTGCGGACAACCATTTTTCTTCTTTCTTCAAATACTTTAATTTTTTCTTTGAATGCTTTAATTTTCTTATTTGCATAGTACAGATCAATGTTACGGTCTTAAAAGTCCAAACTTAACTCCGATAACTCTTCGATTACATCAAACATCAATTCTAGATCCATTAAAAACTTAGTATTGTATTTTGTATTTTGCTTTCATAAACCTTCGTAAGTGAATTTTTCATTTTTGTCCTTTGTAGAATTAACCATTGGTTCTTTAAAATAATTTACCAGCTTTTCATAATTTTCCCATACCGCAAAAACTAAAGGGAAACTAGTCGTCATCCATCGTGTGTACAAAGTTTGACCAATTTTTAGCAGATGAATATTGAATAACTCCGCACATGACTATAACTCTCTGCTATATTGGGGAAGTATGATACATGACGTTAAGCTTATCGTGATTTGAATCTATCAACACTTGAAATCTCCCTATAGGTATATATTAATATATATAGGTATTACATAGTATCGTCTACTGATAATTCCAGTCTATGATTAGCCAAGCTATAACAGAAGGAAACTTTTATATGATTTATTTAAAAACGCTACCTTTGCATCCTAACATCACTGCTGTAGCATGACATTCTACAAAAAATAAATAACTCTTTAAATATTTTTCTGTCACCCTATAAGAATAAAGACATTTGAGTGAAGCATTAAACAATCCTTTAGCCGTAACACTTTTAAGTTTCACTAAATCTACAAATAAATTGATTTGTGAATACATTCCACTGCTACATTCCACTTACGCTGCACCGAATGTACACTACCAGTGTCAGTTTTTGGCTTAAAGTGGTTGAATCATCAATCATTAACGAAATCATACTCTTTGATTTTATGACTTCTCCAATAATTTTTTTTCCTCATTTCGTTACCTGTATGATTGAGATTGTTAATCCATACCTTTTTAGAATGAAGATTACGACCCAATTTAACTCCGTTAATTTCTTGAAGATTAATTTTTCGATTTCAAAGTTATCAAAGAACTGATATTTTCCAACTTTAGATGCAGTTCAAATGTTTGCTGTTAGAATTTTCTCTCGTGTTAAAAACTTGAATGCGTTGTTTGTAAGAGTCACTTATTTCGCTTCTTTCATCATCTTTTATGCAGCTTGATGTCAGTGGATTCTTTGTAATCAAATATTTTCTGACGAAGCAAACTTATTTGATAATTTTATATCACTTTTCAAATATATCAATTAAGTTTTAACTTTGAATTTTATACGTCGTTAACAGGAAGTTTATTAACGATAAAATAAAAATTACTGTCGCAAATACAGTAGCGTAGCTCAAAATTTTACTGCAGCGTAAAATTTGTGATCTAAAATATCAATCTTTTTTAAGTAGCGTTGCACATTATGAGATTGAATTTCGGAAAAATATTGCACAGAAAAAAAAGAATTTCTTCTAGTAGAGGGGTTGATGTTTAAACAAACAATTTGGTAACATAAAAAAAAGGGCTATAGAAAATGAGTTCAAGTAAATTCTTTTCAAGCAAATTTTGTTTTTACAAACTGCTAAGAAACAATAGATTCTGAAATGCAACGCTGCAATGTTTGCAAATCTGCAAAAATGTTTTTCTTGATCTCTACACCCACATTTGAATTTTCAGTTTAAAGAATTTTAAATACAACTTTTTTTGGAATTGAAAGTGTAAATATTTAAAAATTAAGTTCATTAATACGGGGGAAAAAAAATGTTTATGTATAAAAAAAAAGGTGCCGCAACGCCGTTCCGGTGCGTTCGAGGAGAAAAAAAGCACTGTATATATATATATATATATATATATATATATATATATATATATATATATATATATATATATATATATATATATATATATATATATATATATATATATATATATATATATATACATATATATATATATATATATATATATATATATATATATATATATATATATTGAAATATTAAATGTAGACATGTCAATAATATGTAAACTAAATTTGTTGTTTCTGCCTCCCCTTCGTCATCAAGGTAAAACTTATCCGGCTACTATTTTTTCTGTCTATGACAAATCGAGTAATTTATATATCGATGGTCAAAATATTCTGGATTCCGGCTGTTATTTTATCCGTCTAAGTCAATTTATAAACTTAGACTAGCGGGTGGCGTATAGTTTTTGTATTAGAGATTTCGGCTTCATTTTTCTTATCTGAATCTAAAGTAATTCTGATAATAAGTTTTTATATATAATTTATTGAGCAAATATGTTACGGCATGGAAGAGCACTTTACAATTATTGTTCAAGACAATTTTTAAAACAAAGTTCTGGTAAGTGGTATTAGAAGTAGTATATAATAAGTGTGTGGGTTGGGTGACCAAGTGTGTATAAAGTTAATAAGTAAGTGTGCAGGTTTAAAAACTTAAGGCATTAAACTTACTAAAACGAAACAATAAAGTTTAAGAACAATTACATAATGGACTTCATTGATTAAAGTTCAACAATTGAACCTTTAATATCTAGGTTCATCAAAAATTTGAATTTATCTCCAATGTTCTTATATGCAACACTTCTTTTTTTAAGCCCCTAATTTATCTAACAAAATATTAAATAACTCTTAAAAAAATCTGCTTTGATTTTTATAATCTTCCTTAAATTCTGGATATGAATTAATTTTGGAAAAACAAAGATGGTGGGTTTAAGGAAAAATTAACTTAACAAAACTCAGAACTAATTAACTTTGGTCAATATTCTATATCGCTATAGTTTACACTTAAATTAATAATATCAGTAATTTCAGACAATTTTTCTATCTCTTCTTGCATGCAGCTCTTGTCTCTGTCCTGAATACGATTTTCGGTTCGGCATTCGATATATACGTTGCCCTCAGCAGTATGTTTTTCATTTTGTTCTATATCATCAGTTACATTTACCTTTTCTGAACATGTTATTTCTTTAAATGATCAAGCTATTTCAATAGGATTGAAGTGGAAAAAGGTGGTTAATTTTAGAAATTTTGATAATTTTTTAACCTTTTGTTCTTTTATTTTTTGTTTTGACTACCAATTAAATATTTCTATCTGGGCATTTTTAATTATATTTATAAGTCCCAAACCTTTAAAATTAATTTCAAAGAAATACAAGAAAAAATTCATAAAAAAAATGGATGTGCAAACCTCAGAATTAGGAAAAATGAGGTCGTCAATTAATTTCCGATCTCAAACTGTTAGAGGTCAGCATTAGGTCAGCAAAAAAAAAATTGACTCAAAAAGGCTGCCATAAAACATTAAAATGAGGTCGGCAATTTTTTGCTGACTTCAAACACTTCCATGTCAGCAGTTAGGTCAGCATTTATATAATATTTGCATTTATATAATATATTTCCGAATAATAATATAAAATCAACTAAACTTTTATAGTCGTATTAATTTTTCTGCCTCGTTTTTGTTTCGCTACTCTTTGTTGAGATTGTACCCAAATTGACTGCTTGTAGCTATTTATAAAGTACATTTCGTCTAAAATCATTTCAGTGCTTGTTAATTGGATTATTTTTTATTATCTTACTCTTGGCAGGCAGACATTAGTTTGTAGTTTAGTGCTGGGACTCTTTCTCATTGGGGGTCCTACCAAGTGGGCACGCATTGTCCGGGGGATGTCCAGACATCCATAAGATGCCTGACAAATGTCCCCCGGAGGATGCATGCCCAATGGGTAGGCTTCAACCTACTTAGCTTAATGGGAGATCCACTGCAATATATATATATAATATATATAGTATATATGTATATATATATATAAAGTATATATATATATATATATAAAGTATATATATATATATAAAGTATATATATATATAAAGTATATATATATATATAAAGATATATATATATATATATATATATATATATATATATATATATATATATATATATATATATATATATATATATATATATATATATATATATATATATATATATATATATATATATATATATATATACTTTATATATATATATATACTTTATATATATATATACTTTATATATATATATACTTTATATATATATATATATATATATATGAGCCATTAATTTTTTTAAATTACTGAATAATATTAATTACTGCAAAGCGAGTTAAATGTTATTTAACGTCTTTTTTATTATTATTATGAAGAAACGTTTATTTTATTATTATTTTTTTAATATTAAATAATTAAATTTAATACTGCATTTTTAAAAATGTTTGATGTTAACAAATTTCTTTCTTTTCTCTACATTTGCATAAGGGTAATTCCATGTAAAACTGGGACAAAAAACCTAAATTTTTCAGTCACCCTCTCAGATTTCTTTCAAATTTACCCAGTGGTACATATCAATGTAACATGAAAAATTGTAAAATTTGAGCTTCCAAAATCAAACGCTTTCAAAGTTATCACGTTTTGAAATTCAGCTGAAAATGTTCCTTTTTTTGCCAAGTCCGCCATTATGGATTTTGTAGTTTTACTTTTTAATGTATAATTTAAGATCTAGTTAAAGAATGAGGCTGAAAATGGGTACCTGACCATTTTTGAGGGTGCTGAATTCAAAAATGTGAAGCAAATAGTGAAATTTAAATTTAATGATGGTTATTTTTTGATTTTAAAATGGTCAGTCCAATTTTTTGTTCTGTTACCATGGGTTGCGCTTTCATCAACTCCCAGAGTTGCCCAAGTCTCATGGATTCAATTTTTTTTTCAAATGAAGTAGGTGATCCTAGGCTATCTTTATAAAAAAGATGGTTTTGGTTTCTTAAAGCATTATAAAGATATATCATTTTGAAATTTATACAAAAAAAATTCCTTATTTGGACTCAAATTCTCTTTCATAGATTTTTTAGTTATAGTTTAGGTGTAAATAATTTAAGTTTTAGTCGAAGAAACTGACTGAAAATTGGTACCTGACCATTTTTGAAGATGCTGAATCCAAAGTAGAAAAAAAAAAAACCTAATTTAAAATGTTAGATAACTGTTTTTTTTTTAAAAAAAATGTTAAAAAAGCACATTACAATAAAAAGAGGTAAGGTCTTCACAAGTTTCCTGATCACAAGACTCTCACGGGTTCAGTTGTGATGTGTAAAAAGTGTTTATTGAGGTAGGTTTTTATATATAAATAATGTTTTGTGAAGTGAATTGTCATTTAAAAAAATAGTTTTGCAATGCCAGCTGTGATGTATAAATATAGATTTGCGATGTCAGATATGTTGTATAAATATAGTTTTGAAATACCAGTAACCATAAACTAAAAATTATTTTAATTTTAGATTAAATAATTAGAGAATTTAGTAATTCAGTTTTTTATTCATGGCAAACAGCCAACAGTGCTCCGTTGGATTCAAGCTAGAAAGTGAATGTCATCTTGCAAAATATACATTGTTGCTTGGAATCGAAACTTTTGAAGATATTCCTGAGTATGAAAGAGAAATATTAATGTGGAGGACTGGGCTCTCAATAATCAATGTAAAACCAACAACTTGTTTACATCATAAACATGTTTATTTGAAGCGTTATGCAACTAAATTAACATGGTGCTGCAATCCATTTAATACTCATAACAAAGTTATAAAAGGTATTTATAGTAATCACAACTTTTAATTTGTGAAAATTTTGTGAGTTACAAAAGAATCAGAAGAGAACGAGTTGAAGATAAAGTTAACTGAAGATAATATGGAAAAAGAAATTATACTGGAATCAACAAGATCATTGCTCAACAGTACTTTGTGTGAACTTGAAGTGTCTCCGTTAAAAGTTTATTTACCAAAAACCTCTAACAAGCCTTCACTTGGAAAGAGAAAGATAATGCAAGTTGAAGAAGCAGTTATTAAGAAACTTGCAACTGCTCTGGATGTCACCGAATTTGTTGCACCTAACAACTATGAGATTCTAAAGGAAATTGAAACCAAAGCTGGCGATCTAGACTTCCTTGTTGAATGCATGAAAGAAAAACTTAAAGTTTCTAACAGAAGGCAGCAACTTCAAATTTTGTCATTGACACCGAAATCTTGGTCTATCAGAAAAGCAGCAAAAGAGTTTTCAGTTTCCAAATACAAAATTCAAAATGCAAAGTTTTTACGTGACCAAAAAGGCATCATTGCATACCCCAATGTGGTTGAACGGCATCAAATCAGTAAAGATGTCATAGAACTTGTAAAGCTTTTTTACTGTGACGATGAGTATTCAAATGCAAATGCCAGGTAAAAAAGACTGTGTAAGTGTTGGGAAAAAAAAATACATGTCAAAAAAATTGCTTATGTGTAATCTAAAGGAGCTTTATGTGGCATATAAGATTAAGTACCCAGACCATAAAATTGGATTTTCTAAATTTTGCAGTCTTAGACCTAAATAGTGCATCCTTGCTGGTCCAAATAGTACACATTCTGTTTGTGTGTGTACAATACACCAAAATGTTAAATTAATGTTGAGTGGTCTAGGCCTTGAAACAACGTACCATGAAATCATTGAAAAGATTGTCTGCAGCAGAAAATCAAAAGTTTGCATGATTCATTGATGCAAGAGTTGTCCTGGCATACAAGCTGCCCAAATTTATTTCCAGCAGTATCTCACACAAAATTATGATCCAAAAGAGCAATATGACAGTGACGAAAATGAACAGTCACTGAATTTCAAACAGTGGATAACGACAGATAGAACTGAACTATTAACAATACAACTTCCATTAAATGAATTCATAGAGCTCCTGTGAGAGAAACTTGATAAAATTACTTCTCATTTATTTATAGCAAAATCACAATCTAGCTATCTAAAGCATCTCAAAGAAACAATTAGTATTGATGAGGCTATTTTACTGGCAGATTTTGCAAAAAATTACACTTTTGTAGTACAAGACGAGATACAGAGTTACATTGGAGCAAGAGTCAATGGTCTCTTTATCCAGTTGTCATCTACTACAAGAAAGTGAAATTGGAAATATCTTCTTTTTGTGTAATTTCAGATGGTTTGAGTCATGAACTTGGATTTATCAATGAAGTTATGCATAAAACTATTAATCATATAAAAACTCATCTTTGCCCCGCAATTACAAAAATTCATTATTTTTCTGATGGCTGTGCAGGGCAGTATAAAAACTGCAAACATTTTTACAATTTATGTCACCTTGCTCAAGATTTTTCTGTTCAGTGCATCTGGAATTTTTTTGCAACAAGCCATGGCAAATCTCTATGTGATGGAATATGTGGCACTGTTAAAAGATTTTTTTTTCTTGGTATACATTTATTAATTAGTTTTAATCAAAAAAATTTGCTCAGATGTTTTTTTTTAACATTCTCTCTAATATGAACACAACATGTCTCGAGACTTGGTAGTCCCTTTAAATAAGTAAAAGCAAAGTTTAAATTTTTTTTTTACTTTCTTGCTGTTTTTATTATTGATAAAAATAGTTACATGAACGCCATATAAATACCTTTTTGGCGCTAAAAATAAAGTTTATACGCAAATTTGGCACTTAGCATATTATATTTTGTTAAGTAAAAAAATTTACATAACTTTTATAAATGGGTAACGCAATTCAATGTAAACTAACAAGGTTTTTCGAGAGAAAAAAACTCAATAAAACTTTAAGTCTATCTAAAAAAATGCGCAGTATGGAATTTAAACTATTTCAATTAAATTAAAAAGATCTACGATGATAAAAATTCTGAATATAAAGAAAAAAAACTACAACTTCACTAGCCTAAAATAAACTAAACTGGGAAAACATAACATATATTTCAATTGGATAATTGGGTTCCGTAAAACTCAGATATGCCAGTAGCTAGTCTAAGAAAACCCATCTGCAGTACTTTTTTACTCTTGGCATTTAAAGAATTATCTTTTTCCTGTGTTCCTTTTAACTAAACAAATATGAATATATGTAAACATTTGTGAAAATTATTTGTTCAAATATTATGAACAAATATTATATCAAAAATTTGTTCATAAATTAAATTAAGCCCTATATATATATATATATATATATATATATATATATATATATATATATATATATATATATATATATATATATATATATATATATATATATATATATATATATATATATATATATATATATATATATATATATATATATATATATATATATATATATATATATATATGTATATACATGTATATATATATGCATATATATATACATATATATATATATATATATATATATATATATATAAATAAATATATATATATATATATAAATAAATAAATAAATATATATATATATATATATATATATATATATATATATATATATATATATATATATATATATAAATATATATATATACATGTATATATATAATATACATGTATATATATATGCATATACATATATATATATATATACATGTATATATATATGCATATATATACATGTATATACATATATATATATATATATATATATATATATATATATATATATATATATATATATATATATATATATATATATATACATATATATATATATATATATATATATATATATATATATATATATATATATATATATATATATATATATATATATATATATATATATATATATAATTTTAATTCACCTCCCCAAGGCCATGAAGGCTACTACATTAGAGGAAGCTACTTTAGTTGTGATTAGTACCCTCTCTTAACTATATAACTCTGAAACACGAAATTTGACAAACAAGGTCGTTGACCAAAGAAACAAGTTGATTGCGGAACTACCAGAGACATGGTAGGGATTAAACTTAAGTCTAAGTATATGCTTAAATTTTTATTTTGGAAAAAAAAAGTATTTTGAACAGAATTAGAATTATTTATATTTTTAAATTTAAATATTTTTTAGTTTAGTTTTTATTTCATTCATTTAATGTTTTAATAGAATATTTCTGCTGTTAAAACTGTTTTCAAGAAACAAAAAAAAAAAAAAAAAAATGAAGTAGTAATAAAAATTTTTTGTATAAGAATTCTTATTCTTTCTCACTTGCGCTACTTCTAAATCCTATTTTGTTACTGTAACTAGATCTATGTTTGGTTTTCAGAAGTGGTTCTCACTATGCCAATGCGTATTTTGGATGTTGCTGCAATTTTCATTCAATTAAATTTAAATTAATGCTTATTTAAAGTAATGCATTAAAGACTAAAATTATCTTGTTCATATTTCTTTTTAAAATTAATTTCTAAAATCAGTTAGGGTATTTATAGAAAATGTTTAATCTTGATATTGCTACAAATAAAATGGAAATTAAAAAAAAATTGAGTTTTTCATTTTCTATTTGAAGTTTCTTGTTAAAATAATTTTTACTTAAAAGCTTTAAAAAAATAAAAATAAAGAATAAATCACAAAAAATTTAAAAAAAATTAATTGCAAAGGTGTGAAGAACAATAGTGATTCACAATCGCAATTCGCTTAACTTAAGCCTTGTTAATTAAACAAAAAAAAATTTAAAAGATTTTTTTCTAAATTCTGCTTAATTTCTAAATTATATAAAAAGTTTCAGTTAGAACTTTGTCAAACCAACGCAACAAAATGTCGAGAAAATAAAGACATTTTTTTAATATTAAACATTTAAAAAAATGTAATATTAAATTTATTTATTTAATATAAAAAAAAAGTTGAAAAAAAATAAACATTTTATAATAACATTTCTACATTTGTTTAACATTTATTTAACTTGTTTTCTGGTAAATTAATAATATTGCAGTAGCTTAAAAAAAGTTAATGTCTTGAAAAATTAAAATACAAAAAGAATTTTATGACGTCAAATTCACATAGGCTAATGTGTTAGGCGCATGGACTTCAAAATGTGATTTGTCGGAGAATACTACTTTTTTTCCAGTCGTCTGCTGTCCATTGAGAGTATCTACGTGCCCATTGAAGACGTTTTCTCTTCATAACCAATGTCAATAACTGTTTCTTTAGAGGTTTTCTGGCAAATCTGCCAACTTCAAGGAGCCTTCATTGGACAGTTGAAGAAGAAATATTTACGCCTGATGTGGACAAATCTCTCTGAAGGTCTGCACTTGTTTTCTTAGGATCCTTTATACTTTCTCTGATGATAACTGTATTATTGCGAGGTGTTGTCTTGCATTTTCTTCCACATCTTCATTGTCGCAGTGTTGAAGATTCACCAGTATCTTTTTTTCTTTTCAAGGTGTCTCTAACAGTTGACTTAGCCACCTTCATTTTGTTAGAAATCTGCTAATGCTCAAACCAGCATTTTCTTTAAGAGCTATAATGCTTGCACGTTTCTTGGGAGTATATATATATATATATATATATATATATATATATATATATATATATATATATATATATATATATATATATATATATATATATATATATACAATATGTATATATATATATACAATATGTATATATATATACAATATATATATATATATATATATATATATATATATATATATATATATATATATATATATATATATATATATTGTATATATATATATCTATCTATATATATATCTATATATATATATATATATATATATATATATATATATATATATATATATATATATATATATATATATATATATATATATATTTTGAGAAAAAAAAAAGTTTAACGTTTGCTAAAAAAGTTTTAAAAGTTCTATTAGCGTTAGCGACTCAAAAAAAATTTAAATTCTTTTTACGAAAAGAAATCGTTATTTCATTGTTTTAATGTTTTAATGACGCAAAAACATTATGAATTTATATTATAATTAAACAAATGAAACAATGAAAAAAATGAAAGCTTCTGAACTTCTTACAAACAAATTTGATGCAATAATAAAAAAAAATTGATTGTAATATTAAGTTAAAGATGAAGACCATAATAAAGAAAATATATAAAAGATAAATTTGTTCTTTATAAAAAGATCATTAAGAACTAGGTGGAAAAAAAAAATCAGATGCGATCAAATAATAAATAAGTATTTAGAAAGTAGAAAGAATTTTAAACGTTTTGTCAGGCAGTGCGCTGCTAAATAATAATTTTAAAATATTTATTGTCTAAAGAACGCTGTATAACAAATTAAAACCTAATAAAATTGTGGGGAACACCCATACCCAAAAATAAAAGAATACTCTCTATAACTTAATTACGAGCACGCATAATCACGCCCTGCTAAAAAAATATTTGAGTTTTATGGGCACGAAACATTGCGCTGGACAATTTTCTTAATGCCAAGGCCTATATATATATATATATATATATATATATATATATATATATATATATATATATATATATATATATATATATATATATATATATATATATATATATATATATATATATATATGCAGACACTTAATTATGTCTGCATGTATATATATATATATGTATATATATATATATATATATATATATATATATATATATATATATATATATATATATATATATATATATATATATATGTATATATATATATATATATATATATATATATATATATATATATATATATATATATATATATATATATATATGCAGACATAAATAAGTGTGCTTTAAAGATGTTTGAAAATGAGCCTGTTTAGCATTCATCATTATAGATTATGTATATATATATATATATATATATATATATATATATATATATATATATATATATATATATATATATATATATATATATATATATATATATATATTATATCTCACATAAATAGTAAATGATAAATAACATTATTAATTTTTTGTCAAGTTATTAAATTATATTTTTTAGCATGTAGGCTACTTCACTATACTGACAAAAATCATGCCAAAATTGAAGTCTTTGTTGACGATAAGCCTGTTTTGGTAGATCCTGGCACAACTGTTATGCAAGCTTGTGCAATGGTTGGTGTTGAAATCCCACGTTTTTGTTATCATGATAGACTGTCTATTGCTGGTAATTGTCGAATGTGCTTGGTTGAAGTTGAAAAGTCAGCAAAAGTGTGTATATTTTGTCTTTACGATGAAATATCTTAGAGTCATCATCATCATCGTCATCATCATCATCATCATCATCATCATCATCATCATCATCATCATCATCATCATCATCATCATTATCATCATCATCATAATCATCATAATCATCATCATTATTGTTGTGTTTCTTCACATATTATAAATTGACGTAAGTTAAATTTTTGTTTATTTACTTTTAAGCCTGTTGCTGCATGTGCTATGCCAGTGATGAATGGATGGAGAATCAAAACTGATTCAGTGTTAACTAGACAAGCGAGAGAAGGTGTTATGGAATTTATTCTTATTAATCATCCGCTTGACTGTCCAATTTGTGATCAAGGAGGTGAATGTGATTTGCAAGATCAATCGATGGCATTTGGTAATGATCGTAGCAGATTTGTGGATGTAAAGTTTGAAGGAAAAACGTAAGTAAATATATATTTTAGCAATATTTTCTAAATACTTCTTTAACTAATTTTATTTCCCAAATAATTAAAAAATATTTTCTAACTAAAAATAAAAATAAGTTTGTTCAATTTAATCATTTTAAATCATAAAAGTAACTGTTTATACATTTTGACCAAATTAAAAGTTATACATTTTAACATTCCAAATTATGGTAACTTTTCTGTATAGAATTATATATAATTTATTTGTTTACAAGTTTTGTAACAATTTTTTTCACACCTTGCCCTAAAAATTAAAGTAAAAAAGTTAAGTTCATGTTTTTTTTACTTATTTAAAAACAAGTTGAAATTTTGCAAAAGCTGAAAAATATATGAGGCATTCTTTAATAGCATGCATTTTATAGGATATGTTTACCAGATTATAGTAGGTTAAAGTCTTTCAGTACTGATGGGTTTAAGCATAATTTTTATGCCAAATTTTTGGAATCCACTTGATGATATATTTTTATTTTAAGTGTGATATTTTGGCTTATAGTTGAAGCCACTTTCAAACTAAAATTCGTTATTAAAATTTGTTATTTAAAATAATGATGCCATTGCTGCGTCTTAATATAAAAGTTTTTTATATTTAACAAAAAAGATTTCCAACGGTGAGTCATCACTAGGTTGCCAATATTCCGGTTTAGAATTTTATTTTTTGGGTAGCAACATTGCAATATTTATATTTCTAAAGCCTCACAGATTTTTCTAGTTTAACTCTTTGGAATAACTGAAAGTATTTTGGGATTATTTCAATTAATTGTATCTTTGCAATGTTGTACAATTATATTATAATACAATGTTGCAATGCACTGTGTCATAAATCGACCCTCAGGTTGAACTTTATCCAACTTGAAAAAAAAATATGCCATCAATGAGATATTTATTAGAATATTAAAAATTAAACATTTTAAAAATCCATTTTTAGACTGGGGGGGGGGTCCAAAATCCTATTGAAAATATTAACAATATGAGGGCAGAGGGGCCTTGACCCTCTACTTGCCAAATTTTTTTATATAAAATATAAATCTAGCATAAAATCTAGAAATATATTTAAATTTTTTGTTTATTTTTGTTTATTGGCGCAAAATGCACCAATAATTTAAAGAATAATTTAACAAATTTTCTAAATCATAAAAAATTTATTATAATACTAATGGCAATGTTATAATTTTAGTAAATAAAAAATGAATATAAATAGTTGTTGTGTTTGCTGGGAAACAAAAACTAACTTATCGCAGTCCAAGATACTATTGAAAAACTGGTGCAGACGTATGTATACTCTGGATACATGAAAGAAATTGCAGCCAAAATTCTTCTATATGTGGAAATTGCAAAACTAATTTGTACATGCTTGCAAAAAGAAAGAAACCACCAACCAGATGGACACAGAAGATAGAAAAGGTTAGGTTTAAATGAATTGCATCTGTTAAAATAGAATTTTAAAGTATCTGCTAAATTATAAAGCTGTCAACTCTGTCATAAAAAGCTCAAATGTCAATTCTGAATAATTATTATATAGATTGATTGGATTTTTAAGAAGCGCAAGTCTGACATTGTTACAATTGAGATTGATGAGAACTCTTCTACCTCTCTAGTAAACACATTAAAGATCTGCTCTAAATGTCTGTCAATAATAGGTAATATAAACAGAAGATTTTAAAATATTACATGATATTGGTATAGTCTAATTTTCGTAAACAATATTTATTTAGGTCGTGGCTTAGAGCACAAATGCTGCAAATCAACTGCTGTAAAAAACATTACATCATTGGCATTGGAACAAGGTATGCACAGTGCAGAGCAGGTGGCTTCTTCAATAATCAAGGAAAAAATGAACAAAGAAAAAGTAAATTCAGGAAATCTATTTTATTTAGCCACCTGCGGAAAACCGCAGATAATAAGAGTTGGTTGTCCTGAGAACAAAGAAGACAGAAATCAAATCCAGCAAATCTCTTTTGAAACATTCAAGTAACTTCGACTAAATCTTGATCTTTCAAACAGAGGAACTAGAAAACTGATTTCTACTCTTAACAAGGCCACAGGAAAGAGAGTTGTCCAGTCAGAAGTGACGAAGTTACTATCAGATCTTGAATTAACTGTGAAAAATTATTACAGTGTTCAGTCCATGCAATTTGAAGTTGGGGATAAAAAGGTTGATAGGAACCTGGTTTTTGTAAAAGATTCTTCAGATTTTGTTATGAACATTTTGTTATATATGAACATTTTAAGTGAGAGAACATTAAATCCTTATAATACCATTGTACAAGTTTCAATTGATGAAGGTGGATGGAGGAGGTTCATTGAAAATATGTGTTAACATCTTTGATGCAGATGAACTTAAAGTTAACAGTAATAAAATGAAAAACAGAAGTAAACGTTGGGGATATGACAAATATATTGGGTCTGGTGTGCAACGTATACAGTTTATTGCTATTGCTGAAGATGTTCCAGAAACATATCAGAATATAAAACAAATTTTAGATATTATCCAGCTAGACAGCCTGGATAATATCCCTTCATATTGCATGGGATTTAAAGTTGGCTAACATAATTATGGGTTTATCTGGCCATGGTGGCATCCATGCATGTTTATATTGTGAAAGTGAGAAGACTATAAATGCAGGAACTTTAAGAACATTTGGAAGCCTTGATCTTCATCTTTCAGAGTATTAAGCAGCAGGAGAAAAAAAAGAAACGAAAAAAGGCTTATTCATCTTGATGAAGATCCAGAAGTCAAAGTAATAAACAAAATTCCTCCATCATCGTTTCATATATTTATGGGTTTTATTGGCCAAACTTTAATCAGTGGCTGTCTGGAAAATACATTCTCAGACATGGTTATCATGGAGGAGGGTTTGATGGAGTAAACTGTAACAAGATATTGAATAATCTTCAAGATCTAGAAGATGCATTCCTAAATGATTGCCAACAGCTAATACCTATTATAACATGTTTCAAAGATTTAAAGTGTGTCGTGGATGACTGTTTTTGTGATTTCCTTAGTCCCAATGTCAAGCATTCTATTGCTAGATTAAAAGACTCATATAATTACCTAATAGAGTTTTCAAAAGGCTATAATTACACCTTACCCATAACATGGAAGGTCCACATCATGATAGCGCATATTGTTCCTTTTTGTGAAGAAAATCAATGTGGTCTAGCCTGATTTGCAGAACAAACTGGAGAAGCTATTCACTCTAAATTTAAACCAACTTGGACAAGATACAAAAGAAATGTAAGTCACAAAGACCATTGAAAGAACTTGCATAAGGCAATTTCAGACTTCTCATCGAGACGAAGATAGTAACTTAAAGACAATATTAATTAACTTTATAAATACTATGCAGTAACTTAATTATATAAAGATCTGTAAAAGTATTTAGCTTTATATAATTTTCTATAAAATTTGTCTTCTACCTACAAATCACCGAGAGGCCGGATTTAGGTTCACTAAAATCAATCTTTGAAAAAAATAAAGATAAAATATATATAAATTTGGCATAAAGTTATTTAAAAAATCAAATATATTTTGGTGAATAAAGTTATCATATATTATCATTATTATTCGGGGAAGATGGAAGGGAGAGGGATGGAAATAAAAAATTTATATATATTTCTATCTTTTATGCTAGATTTATATTTTATATAAAAATTATGGCAAGTAGAGGGTCAAGGCCTATCTGCTCTCTTATTATTAATAATTTCAATAGGATTTAAGACCCCCCAGTCTAAAAATGCACGCTTGGATTTTTAAAATGTTTAATTTTTAATATTCTAATAAATATCTATTTGATGGCATACTTTTTTTTTAAGTTGGATAAAGTTCAACCTGAGGATCGATTTATGACACAGTGAATGCTCAACAATTCCTGATGTTTTCCAGTTCACTTTAGTTATTTTTTTTCAATGTTCATCTACTTGTGTTGTTATTTTTTTTCTGGTTTCACCACATAAAATGCGCCACATGTACATTCAACTTGGCAAGTACCCAGGTAAATGTTTGGAAGTAGCTTTGATTTATTTTGGCACAACATGTTAAGTAGAGGTCTTCCAATACAAAAATCTGTGGTTATGCCAACAGTATTGTGTTAATTTTTTGACAGTTTTTTGGAGTGTTTTAGTATTGTGTTAATTTTTTGACAGTTTTTTGGTTAAGATGGTTTGTAATGTTCAAAATGTCTAGAAATTGTTGCCAAGAATATCCATTTTCTGCAAAAATATTTATTAGGAACTGAATTTCTAATTCTATATAATCATTAGAACATAATTTATAAGCTTTTGAAAGAAAGTCTTTAAATATCCCTGTTGCAATATATGGTAATATACATGATTGCAATTTTACGAGTATGTTCGTTGTTTCATTCTTTTGTTCATTGTTTCATTTTTACAGTATATAGAAAAGTTATCTTTTTGAGTTATATGTTGAAGTTGAATGCAGGTATCTAAGAAATTAAGTTGATCTTAATTATTTTGGTATTTGCATGTGTATTGAATAGCTTTGTTTTGACAATTTAAAAGGTCCAAAAAATTAGCGTGGTAATTAAAATAAAATCAACCAATAAAAATAAAATCAACCAATAAAAAATTATACTTAAGCTATTTGCGCATTGTATAGAATATTAAAATCATTTTTTATTTTGTCGGAAACTTAGAGGATTTATTTAAAAATTTGAATGTTATAAATTAGAAATATATAATAATATACGTATATATATATATATATATATATATATATATATATATATATATATATATATATATATATATATATATATATATACACCAGGCTTTTTTGACAACTTGACCACGATTGTTTAATAAACAATGTTTATATGTTTTGATGAGTTAAAAATTTCAGAAATGTTCTAAATGTAAAAACGCTAAGCTAAATTTAAACTAGGAAAAAAATTTAAAAAAAAAATCACGAAAAAGAATTTCCTAACAAAAAAAGAAACGAAAAACAAATTCATAACGAA